GAATAGCTTAGCATAATGTAATACTTGATCTAAGAAATATATTTGACCTGTTATGACATGTTCAGGTCCAGGGAGAGATCCAGGAGATTGTCAAGACTGGGCTCTGGGTTGGAGACTGCTTCATCTACACCAGCTCTGTAAACAGACTCAACTATTACGTTGGAGGAGAGATTGTCACAATTGCACACTTGGACAGGTAAGAATACAGACTATTTAGGCTCGAGTTGAATAGAATTGCTCTCCCGACTTTATTAGAAACACAGTCCAGCAGTGCAGAAACTCAGCAGATGATTACAGTAAATATGTAATCTTCAAAAAGAATAAGTGGCCTCTAAAATTAGCCTTGGTGCTTTTTCACACCTACTTCCTTTTCTGCAGGACCATGTACCTACTGGGTTACATACCTAAAGATGACCGTCTGTATCTGGGAGACAAGGAGCTCAATATCGTCAGCTACTCCCTGCTGGTCTCCGTCCTGGAGTACCAGACTGCTGTAATGAGACGGGACTTTGGAATGGCTGACAAGGTGCTACCCACTATCCCTAAAGAGCAGAGGACCAGGGTGGCACACTTCCTGGAGAAACAGGTTAGCAAAGGCAATTCATTCATCTTGAAACACAACTGGACTTTAAACATGAGCTGTAGAAAACTGGTCTGTTAGAGGTTATTTTAATGGTTGTCTTTTGAGTTGTGAATATGGTTAAGGTTTCAATTTCTTTGGCTCATCAGGGTTTCAAGCAGCAGGCCCTGGCAGTGTCCACAGACCCTGAGCACAGGTTTGAGTTAGCCTTGCAGCTGGGAGAGTTGAAGATTGCTTACCAGCTGGCTGTAGAAGCAGAGGTAAGGACACAGAAGCAAACGCAAACTCTATATCAAAGGCTTGACCTAAATTGTAATTTGATGTCACAATGGATCAGGTTTTCTGTCCAGTACATTTCTGATATTTTTTACTCTGTTCTCTACAGTCAGAGCAGAAGTGGAAGCAGCTAGCAGAGCTGGCTATCAGTAAGTGCCAGTTTGGCTTGGCCCAAGAGTGCCTGCACCATGCCCAGGATTACGGTGGCCTGCTCCTCCTTGCTACAGCCTCCGGTAATGCTGTCATGGTGGGCAAGCTGGCTGAAGGAGCAGAAAGGGATGGCAAAAACAATGTAGCCTTCATGACCTACTTCCTTCAGGGAAAGTAAGTGTGAGATGTACGAGCCTGCAGGGGCAAATTGTGGAATAGAACCATGCTGTTGTTCACTCTGAAAATGAGGCTACCAGGGTAATTCATGCCTTGCTGCTGTGCTTTCTCCACAGACTGGATCAGTGTTTGGAGCTTCTGATCAGAACAAACAGACTACCTGAAGCTGCCTTCCTGGCTCGCACTTACCTACCCAGCCAGGTGTCCCGCGTGGTCAAATTATGGAGGGAGAATCTGGCCAAGGTCAACCAGAAGGTTAGTTACGTCTTTGAGATTTTTGTTTTAGTTGTTAAACTCAATCAGCATCCGTCTAGATATCTGTTCTTGGTCATGACCTGCATCTTCATTGTAGGCGGCTGAATCCCTAGCAGACCCTACAGAGTATGAGAATCTGTTCCCCGGGCTGAAAGAAGCCTTTGCAGCTGAACACTACCTGAGAGAAACCTGCTTGGGCACCACTAGGCCTGCTAAAGACTATCCACTTGTTACAGTAAGCTGAATGACTTTGGTTAAAATACTTAAATTATGCAGTGAGGAGACGGTGATTAAAGTACTCACTGAAAGTCCTTGATGACTTAAGTAAAAAAGATGCTTAGTTTTGGGTAAATTAACTGTGTTATCGCTAATATGGCAGCACTTCTGAATTTGTATCTGACATTTTCAGCCCAATGAAGACAGAAACATTCTTGAAGAGGCCCAGGGATACGAACCCAAAGGAACCTTCCTACCTCCTGTCTCTAAGGTTTGCATAGAGTATCAATATCTCAGTACTTTTGTATTATCCTGATTACTGTTCATTGTTCTGTAGCTTCTGTAGGCTGTAAAAATGAATAGAAGCTGGAGAAATTAGTGGCAAGTACAATTTAAAATTCCCTTATTTAATTCACCTTTTTAGCAGACACAAGATGAAGAGGAGGCAGCAGCTCCCATTGCTGCAGTGACACCTTCACAGCCTGAGCCTGCTCCTCCTGCAGCAGTGGAGAAAGAGAAAGAGGCTGAAATCTATGAATTCTCACAGAAAGATAAGGTGAAGACTTTTGCTCCTTATTTTTGATTTATTATGTGGTCACAATCAATCCCTCTTCTAGTGTGGAAGTGATGACTTAGGTTTTATTCATACAGAACAACTTGTAGCACATACTGTTCTTAGTTGATGAAGTGAAATCGAATGAAAATTCAGCTGGAACATTGTTTAAAAAAGGATTTTCCTTTTTTGTACGCGTCTCACTGTCCTAGACTCTGGATGAGCTCGAGGTGGACCTGGACAACATGGAGCTGGATGACATTGACACCACAGATGTTAACCTTGATGATGACTTTCTCGATGATTGATTGAGACCTGCCAACAGTCTGCTCCCAAGCACTCTATAGAGCATATTTAAAAGAAAAAGAGAGACCAAATCCCTTTTCCCCACTTTTTTTTTCTTTTGTATTTGTCCGTAAAAATGTTATATTGTCATATCTGCCTACTGCAGTGTTTGAGTGGCAGATCATGATATCACTGATGTTTTATCCACAGAAGAAAGGTAGACAGACTCCCTCATTTTGTAAACCATTTATTGTTTGAGAATTTCAGAAAAACTGTCCACTGGGCTGTATTTTATTACTCTTTGCTTTTTGTTTTTCTTTTTTTCTGTTGTGGAAGTGAACATTCATTCAGTCCAATAAACTGGTTTCTGTACATATTCACATTTGACTAAAGAGCGTCTTACTCTTGATAGTTATCGCAAAAACTAACAAATGTAGCTTTTAATAATGAAACAATAATAAGTTCCTCAGCAGCATTGAGTGTGTCAGGGTCCAGCTGGGGTCTTTGCTCATCATCTGCAGCCACTTACTGCAGCACTGAGCAATTCCTGAGATGGTGTGGTGTACGGCTTGGCCACGCATCTCTAACTTTTTAAGGAGTTTTGGTGGTTATATCAGAATCAGCATACTTTATTAATCCCTAAGGAAATTATGTGGGTTACAGATGCTCCAGTACAGTAACAGAAACAGACTAGACTTGTAGTTTGTTAATCTCCACTGTGCAAACTATTGCTCTCCAACCTCACTGTTCCACCTCCGCTTTCAACTTAGGATATCATAGCCTCTTCCTCTCGCTGGCCTGACCCATGCCATCCTCCCATTCTACTGCCAGCTGTATAAATTACACAGACACACATGCATCGCTGCATAATAAACAGCATAATAATGCATAATTATTTAGAAAATTCCAGTGATGCAAGTCTTGTAATTGTCAGAAAAACAGACCTGCTTTTAAAAAAACAGGAAAACCTACAAACGTCTTTTGGCACCAGCAGCATTTGTGTAATTAACATTAATAGTGTCTCTGTTGCACCATGTAGGTGTGGCAGTAAGTCAGACTCGACTAATATGCAGCCTTTACTAAGATTCAAGTTGTTACTCTCTGTATGAGAAAGGCCCATTGTGCATCTTCTAACTGTTTTGGACAGGTTAAACGACTTTATGCTCGTAAACATGTTAAAAAACAAAAACACTTTTACTGCAGTGCACTTAAGTGCATTTTTTTAGGTTGTTTTCTGAGTATTGACACAATAACTGGCATCTCAGAAAGCAGTTAAAACTTGCTCCACATGCACAAGGTGCAATATTAGTATGAAAAGATATCATTTATTCCCCATAAAGAGTACTTTTATCTCATAGTACTTTAACTGTAGCTTCAGACTTTTTAAACTGTCATGTTGCTTTGACTGCATTGACAGTGTGTTTGCCATTGTCATGCCAAAAAAGTCAGCTGTTGCCAATCAGACACTTTCCACGTTGTGCTTTTCTGTGTTCATAATTCAGTTTTTAAAAGGCAGTGTTTGATACTTGATATCTTGCTTTGTTATTTATGACATTTTGATAAGTAGCAAAAGTAAAGATGGAATATTTCGACAGTTACATTTATAAAGATGCAATTTACAGCATTTGTTCTATCAAAATGCAATGCATCTGTATAGAAAGGACTATAAAAGTATGTTATCCTTCAGCTAGATGTATGCTATCTAAAAGTGTAGATGTGTTTGTGTGTAAAATTTCACTGCACACCTCAAAGTAATAAGACACATTTCTATCTGGAATAGCAGGTAAACACAGATGTTGCTAACCACATTAACTACGGCTTTGAGCTTAAATACATCAATGTTGGTAACACCTGTCTACAAGTTCATGTGCTATAAAACCTGTCTAAAGTGTGATCAGTGACCATATAATAAAGTGAAGAAGGTTAACCATGATCCACAGTCATAAATTAAGTTATTTGACCTGCTGATGTGGGAAAAACAAAGCACTCTGCCTTTCAATCACTCTGATTGGACTTCTTCTCAGTCTGAGTGGTGCTATGATAGCAATTACAAGGGGTCAGCAAAATTAATACACAAATAAAAATGTGGAAGGAGTCGTTTGATTTCAAAACCTCTCCCTTCATGCCAGTTCTCTGCTGTATGATGGGAAGCCCTACATCCTTGCACCCCCCCCCCCCAACCTCCTCCTTGCAGATTTAAAATGTAAAGTGGAATTTTACATTTGTCTATCGTGTCACAGCTGAGATTTTTAATTTTAGAGTGATTAAGATCCAAATTCTAAGAGAGTAAAATGATAACTGACAATGATGGTCTTATTCTTTGCAATCCATATAAAGGTTTCAGCTGCAAATTGGAGTATAAACATATTGAAGCTCTGTGTAAGTATACCATCATATAACTGTGGGTCTGTGGGGCTTCAAAACTGCTAAAGGCCGTTTAATGGCCTTACCAGAGCAATATGGGAGCCGTTAAATTGCCCCAGCTGTCCTCGAAAAGCTGTCACTCTCCTCCTCACCTGCGGAGGGCGCTCCTCCGAGACAGGCTCGGACGATTTTATGCAGTTTCGTGTGCAACAAAGTAAAGCCGAGCAGCTAGCGAGAAGGGAGTACGGACCCTTCTGAGATTGTTTATTTTTGCACCGCTTTGAAACTGTTTTTCCTCACGTATTTCTAAGGTTTTTGTGATATATTGTACGTTTTACACAAACGGAAACTAAAGCAATTCAGTCCTGGGGCGGTGTTTGGACGCTTTGTGGAACAGCAAGGTGTTTTTGTAATAGAGAGTCAGGCGTAACGTTAGCAAGCTGCCGTGAAGAAAAAAGAAAGGGGAAAAAAGGCAGAACCGGGCACTACGGAACGGGTCGGTCAGCCAGAGAGAGCCGGGTGGACCACGGCAAAGCCGCAGCCGCCAGCGCCACGGGGAGTCGGGGCCCGAGAGGGAGCCTGCCAGGCCCTTGGCTTGATGCAACCAGTCTGCCTTGCCTTAGCCGCAGTCCGAGATGGGGGAGACCAAAATTATCTACCACCTCGACGACCAGGAGACACCATATCTGGTGAAACTGTCGGTGCCAGCGGACAAAGTCACGCTGGCAGACTTCAAAAATGTCCTCAAGAAACCAAATTACAAATTCTTCTTCAAATCTATGGACGATGACTTCGGGTAACTGTTAAAAGGTTCATTGTGTTTAACGTGGAATCGGCATGGACTGCTTAACCTCAGTCCATTCAGATTAACTGTAACATATTTGTTACCTCGTGGAGCTGGCTTGTCATCACTTCTAAGGTTACCTGTCTTTCAGTCATCAGCTAGCCGTTTGCTTTGCCGTTCCTTTGTTAGCTGCTAGCGTCCAGGTCGCATCGTTAGCAGGTCTGTTCAGCGTCCCGACCCCGTTTGTTTACATTGCTCGTGCTTAGCTTATGCTGTACTGTCTTACCAAGTTTGGTCATTTCCAGTTTCACGAACACTAAGAGAACGCCTTTAATTGCATTTAAACTTATTGAAGACTAAATGAAACAAGGAGCAATTCATACGGTTACTAACTAGTTACTGACGTTACAGCTGTCAGTTGCTGCCTAATGTATGAAACGCTTATGCTAGCAGGCTAATGAATGGATCTAACCGGACACTTGGTGAGTGAGTGAGACCAGAAGGCCCCTGCTGTTGTTGTCTATTAGCCTAAGGAATGCAAAGTTGGACACAGGAATGCCCTGTTCATCACTCTGGCAGCTTTATGAGCGTGTCCCTTTGTGTTAAAACATGGCCAGAAAAGTAGACGTTTTATGGTCCTCCACACTTTACCTTCTTCAGAGTTAAATAAAAGGGAGAAATGTACTTTTTTGTTTTGTTTTTTTTTAAACTCGAGCCAGGTTGCCAAAGTTTTTCTGGCTAAACTCAAACAAGGGTGGGGCAACAACCTAGATAGGAAGGACGAGTTTTGAAAGGATCCGCAGCTGTTTGTGTTGTTTCAAGAGTGGAGGTGCATGCACTAAATTAACTGTTGAAGCCTTAAAGTCTAGACTGATGGTGTTTTAGGAACTTGTTAGACTGGTTTGGAGCCTGTGATCTTTACCAGGAAAGCCTCACTGACCATCAGTGTTCTCCCTGTCAAAGACCCGGCTAATCTTGACATCTCCAATACTCTGAGGCGCTTGTTAGATACATGCCTTATTTGTCCTCTTCATTGTGTAACAAGGTGTTGTTAAGATCTGCCTGCCATCTGATCCTTGCAAGCAGGACTGAATGAATGGGAGGGTTTGCACGAAATTCACATGGTTACATTTACACATGCCTTTTGTTAATGTATTTGCACCAGTCTGTAACGCATTAAGGCTTACTTCTATATATGAAATGGACAAGTGAGCCATCTTTTGACTAGTTTTCTGTGCGTGTGCCAGTAGTCTCAAACATTTGGTTATATTGAACATTGTCATTGATTCTTAATGTGTACAACTGTCCCCAGTTGTCAGTGTCTGTCCTGCTTGGTGGAATATATTGTCCAGCTCCACTTCCTCTAAATGCACCCTCATGTTTTATTGCCCAGGGAGTGCTTTTGTGTTGGTAATGTTTGACTGAAACAAAGCCTTGTTCTCTTTACAGGGTGGTAAAGGAAGAAATATCTGATGACAATGCTAAGCTGCCCTGCTTCAATGGACGTGTGGTGTCATGGGTAGGTCCAAAATACACGCTGCAATAACATTTATTTATTTATTTATTTTTTGCTGTTTGCTTGTGTGCGATAACTTGTGTGGTTAAGTGGCGTACATGAATGTGTAACAATGATTCCCATCTGTTGGGCACTTACCCCAGTCATGCTCAAGCGTAGGGGGAGGCACTGCACATCTTTGTGATAATATCATAATCACATAACGATCCTCAGAGCAGTATACATACACTGCTTTTCCTAAACCTTGTCTTTTTCACTGTAAAATATAATTATTTTTTTTAAGCACACAGGTTAATTGGCACATGTAGCACATACATGTACTTACATGCAGTTTCTTATTTAAAGCCTCTAAGCAATAATACTCCTGTCTCCACAACACTCGAGACATCTGGCGCTCGTGCACGGCCTCCCTTCCTCTCTTCTCGACATTGAAATTGGATTAAGAGCAAGTGAAATCACAGGATAGCCGGAAAATACTCCATAACAAAGGGCCTCACTGCAGGTCATCTAACAAGAAGATTGAATCTCACAGGGAGGAGAGAATAAAGCAGAGAGAAAGACTGCTCTGTGTCGTGATGTGAAAGGCTAAAGCACTCGCTTAATTTCTACAGTGTGGTTTTAATTATTCGAGCATCATCAACATGGCGTTATTGCTCCATTCTGGAGCGTATATTCCAGCGTGCTCGTCCTAATGCGTCTCTTTGTTGTGGTCGTTTTCATTAGACTGCGCGGAGGTTTAGTTTAATGTGTTTAAAAGCCAGTTCCCCTTTGTGTGCGTTTGCTCCAAAGTGTTTGTTATCTCTTGAGGGTTGTTGCAATGTTCCACATACAGTCAAATGTTATTTCTGTTAGAGTATGTCCATTTGTTTGTCTCCGCTGTTCGTCTGTTGTTTCAGTGAGCTGATTGATTATTCTCTGGGGTCCAGAGGTCTGGCTGGCTGCACATCATTTCATCACAACAAGCCAGCACCCTGTATCTCCTGTTCTGTAGCTCCCTTTAGTGCACACCAAAGTAGACTCTCTTGTGATTGTGATTAAGAGCAGAAGACTAATTTTAGCTATCTTGCCACATAGTAATATAGCTGAATTATTATGACAGTACAGGTGATTTGATTTGATATACTGATGCCCTGTTTCAGCACAACATATTTATCTTTCCAACATCTTCACACTCACTTTGTTGCTGTAATTTAATTTAGTTTAGATGTCACAGCTTGATTTCTAATAAACATGCACTGAACGAAAGAGATTTCTCAAGTGCATAATGGCTGTGCATACAATGAAATTGAACCTGATTTTTTTTTTAAAAATATTTTTTTTTACATTGGATCCTTAAGATTGAGGTCAGCAGCTGCTGAATCTGAACTTTTTCAGCACCACAGGTTGCTGTTGATGGCTACAGTTTCACACTGGTCTCATGTCATCGTTGAAACTTGTTTTTGCATGCAAATACATGCTTCATTTCTGATATGGATGACTTCCAAGATTCCACAAAAACCACAGCAGGATTTAAGTTATATTGTTTTGTTGTCTCAAGCTAACAAACACTAGCATGTGGTAAAAGTGGAAATAAATGCATACCGGTAATTTAATTTCTGAGAAAACATTAGTTCTGGTCTGTTGGAGACCATTTTTTCCCCTACAATTTGGTAACTTAGGCAACACTGTCAGGTACACAAACCACAAGTCTTGGCTTGGGCTCTTTCTTTTTCAACTTGCTGAATTCACAGCTGCTTTTGTAGAGCTTTGCTCTCTCAGTAGGAAACTAGTAGGAGGCAGATTAAGTCTGAATTTTAGCAAGAGACTGTAGTCCCTTTCTGCAGGAGATTTTGAAATGTTTGTGTCATACTTTTAGGAAGTTAGAGTAAAACATGACACACCGTGTATAGTCTTTGAATGTGGATGTGAATGAAGGTCTGCTGCTCACTCATTCTGTGTCTTTCTGTAAATTCTTCTCTCTGAGAGATACTCATCCCCCTGAACGACCCGACTCTTTGTCTGTTGACAGTTGGTCTCTGGAGACGGCGCGCACACGGACGCAGGCTCGGTGGCGGATAGTTTAGAGCCGACACCACCTCTGGAGAGGACCGGGGGCATTGGAGACTCGAGACCCCCTTCCTACCAGTCAGTGAACTCAAACGAGACTTTGTGGACTTTGATACTTTATATTTTGTTTTTCTGTGAATGAGAATGAAATATATTGTGCTTAGTGTGTGTCTGTGTGTTTTTTGAGTGTCTTGAATGAGTTCTTCTGTGTTGCCAAATAGGGCTGCCACGATTAGTCGACTAGTCACGATTACGTCGACTTTCAAAATCGTCGACGACTAATTTAATAGTCGAGGTGTCGTTTCAAGCTTTGTAAGATCACAAAAGACGCAGGAATAAGTAGTAGGATTTAAGAGTGTAATAACGGACTGAAACAGAAGATGGCAGCACTGCATGTACAAGGATGCCAGCTGCCGTTAAACCCCGAAGAAGAAGAAGCGGTGTCCTAGAATTCATAGCGCGGCACAGCTCAGTTTTCAACAATGGCAGCAGCTAGTTAGTTTAATATTACTCTTATTATTCTTTCTGGGTCACAAAATAAATGTTTAACATATTTTCAGGCGAGAATGTAGCTGTGTAAACCTCAAATATCTGCTCAGTTTATCAGGACACCACATATTTTCAAAAGCGCTCCGATGTTTTCGGAGACGTCTGTTACCCACTAGCTCGATAGCTAGTCGGGGGCAAGGCTCACTAGAGCCGTGAGAACACCGCAAAAGTAATCGGTGACTAGTCGACTATCAAAATAATGTTTGTGGCAGCCCTATTGCCAAATAAGAACAGTAACAGGAAAGGGCAAATTAAATCAAAAAAGTGATATCTTGCGACTGCCCTGGAGGAAAGAAAATCTAGCTTAATTCTTGCAGGCATTTATCCGTAGGCTATTATGATCATACTTAAGCCCCTGGTTCAGGGCCGGCCCGTGGCATAGGCCGTATAGGCAAATGCTAAGGGCGCCGTCCATCAGGGGGCGCCACGCCAGTGCCACAAATGTTGAAAAAAAAAAAAGTTGGTACTATTATTTCTAAATACAAAAAATAATCCCACGTTAATTAAAATGCAAAGTAAAGCTTATTTAATAGAAATATTATTTGTTACAACATTACACTACACTGCTGATGTAGGGGGGCGCCACCTAAAATCTTGCCTAGGGTGCCAGATTGGTTAGGGCCGTTTCTGCCCTGGTTACTAGTTTTTGTTTTGTTTTTTTGTTTTTTTTTAATATTTCTATCTAAAGAAATATGCTATGTCTGCAAGTAAAGTGTTAAAAAAAGAGACTCTTTTTATCACCACACTGAAAATCCATCAACACAACATCTGCAATTCTTTCCAAATATTCAGGTACAGATCGCTTTCTTAACCACAGTGAACCAGAGTAGCCAGCAATTTGATTCTTATAAAGCTCTTTTAAAATAAACATTAGTTTTAGTGGCTGCTGAATAAGCTCAAATGCCCTGATCATGATGTTTTGTAACTCTGTCTCTCTTTAACACTCGATCTCTTGTCTGAAGTGGGAAAGCAGCAAGTGGTCGGGACAGCCTGGACAATGACACAGAGACCGGCTCCATGGTGTCTCAGAGGAGAGAGCGGGAGAGGCCGCGACGGAAACACACTAATGACCATGGTCAGAAAGAAACTTGCTGCTTATTCTTGTTTTTCATTGCACGTATCAGTGTTGTTTCCATGTATTTCACAACTTATGAATAACCGTTATCTTGTTGGTAAAAAGTAAGTGTAGTGTGATTGACTTTAGACATGCAGTATCCTTTGATTGTTTTATTTTTCTAGCTTAAGTTTTTCATTTAAAAACCTGCTGCAGGTGGGAGGCAGAACGGGTACTCATCGCGGGGTATGGGACGCGGAGGCCCCGAGTATGACAGCTGCTCGTCCTTCATGAGCAGCGAGCTGGAGTCCACTTCCTGCTTTGATTCAGATGATGACGATGCAACCAGCAGGTCAGATGTGTTATATAGCTGTTGAGCTGGTTTGTTGCAAAAAGAAGAAATGCATTTGGCTTCAGGAATGCATGTGGAGTTATAGTTGATGGTTTATGGCAAAGATTAGTACTATCTAATTGTGTGCTGGTTTTTGTGGTAAACCTCAGGGTTCTGCTCCAGTGGTAATCCTTGCAGCCCACTGCAGAGACTCTGCTGGTCTCAGTCTTTAGGCATCTGACGGGATGTTTTTCCCGTTTAATCAGCTTCAAAAGAGCTGGATTAAAAACCTCTTACGTATTTGGGGGGATTCTGACGCAGAAAGAAATCAGTTTTTTTTGTTTTGTTTTTTGTTGATTATGTTGTAACCTTCAAATGTAGTTCGATGCTGTCTTATAGTTAAAGCTCATTCTGACTTGTAGAACTGTTTTCCTTCTGGCTTTCAAATGGCTTCCCTTTAAACAATGTCTTTTTATTAAGCGTTTTTCCTTTATGCATATAAAAAAGGTTCTGAGAATAGAAGGATTACGGATGATTTGTTCATTTGGGGCAATTAGCCCATACACTTAAGGTTAAAAAAAAAAAGGTAAAATAAAGAACATTTTTTTTGTCCCCCAGATAACATAGTCCCTGCAAAATAATCCCATTAATTCCCACCCAGGTCACTGCCCTAGACCTGTTCACCTGACATGAGGGAGTTGCACACAGACAAAAGTAAATGCACCTGAAAGATTCTTATAGATTTTGAAATGCATCAAGGAAAGAACTGCACATGCTTTGAAATTATCTAGTAGAGTTTTGGAGTGTGTTATTTTTTTCCAGTTTTAGACATGAGGTCATATAACCACTGTTTGTTAGTGGGGGGTGCAGCGTCAGTAGAATTGCCCTCCTGGCCAACAGGGAACAGAATGATAGCGCCTGTGTTTTAGAGGCCGGTAGAGGCATCTCATTCCCACTGATGCCAAACAAAGCAAGAAGGGGGTCAGGCGCCAGCGTCACACTGAGAATCCTGGACAGGGTATGGAAAACCTCTGTCCAGAAGTGGACAAGATTGGGAAAAGACCAGTACTGATGGATCAATGAGGCTTCAGCAGTTTTGCAAATGCCTTTCTTTTAAGTAGGTAGTAGTATGGTTAGCGTTTGATTACTAAATTTATATGGTAAAATTAAACAGCAGTGGGTTATTTATTCTTACTGTAGACTGGAGTATTTGAGCCCTGGTAACAAACTTGAAATGGTCACGATGAAGCTATCTGTTTATTCATGTTCATAGAAACAAATTTCTATGAGGCAGCATGACTGTAAGTAATGTATTTCAATTGGAAGTATTCTTTGTGTCTGAAGCACATACACTTGTTGGCCACTTTGTTAGGTATACCTTGCTACTACCCATTTGGACTCTTGCTTACCTTTAGAACTATCTTTATTTTTTGTGGCACAGCACAGTGCTGGAAACATTCTTCAGCAATAGTGGCTCATGTTGCATCACACAGATGCTGCAGATTTGTCGACTGCGCATGATATGATATGAATCTTCCATTCCACCGCATCCCAAAGGGGCTCTGTTGGATTGAGATTTGGTGACTGTTGAGATCATTTAAGTACATTGAACCCATGACCATGTTCAAGAAACCAATTTGAGATGATTTAAGGTTTGTGGCATGGGCACACTTTCCTGTTGGAAATGGGTACACTGTGGTCATAAACGGATGGACATCAGAGCCTCAATTGTTGCAGCAATATTATAACTAAATATTGGTACACTGGTGAAGATTAGTATGTAGAAAATTTGAGATATTTGCTTATAATGGGGAAGTTTATATCCAGAAACTTCAAAGATTAGATCGTGGCTACTTTCAAAGACTCCCATGAGACAATTTGATCTGCATCTGTTATTTAGTTATTATTTATTTAATTTTAAATCGTGGTGTTTTTTTTTTTTTCCCCTCCTCTTCAGGTTTAGTAGCTCCACTGAGCAGAGCTCTTCTCGTCTAATGAGACGACATCGACGCCGGCGAAGGAAACCCAAGGCTTCCAATATGGACAGGGTGAGAACACTCTTAGTTGTAAAGGACAATAACTCAACCAAAGTTACCTAAAATTATCTTTCATGTTATAAGTCATGATTCTGCTCTTAATGTATTTTTTTTTTTTTTTTTGCATTCCTCATAATTCTTGTCCTTATTTCATTCTTCAGTCTTCGTCATTCAGCAGCATCACAGACTCCACCATGTCGCTGAACATCATCACTGTGACTCTCAACATGGGTAGGTGATTTGCACACACACAGGAGTTAGATGTTTGTTCAGCGAGCATATGAAGTAAATAATACTTCATTTCTTTGAATATACTCTGTTCCTCCCCACCTCACAGAAAAGTATAACTTCTTGGGCATCAGTATTGTGGGTCAGAGTAATGAGAGAGGTGATGGAGGAATCTACATCGGCTCCATCATGAAGGGAGGAGCTGTGGCTGCAGATGGACGCATAGAGCCCGGGGATATGCTGCTGCAGGTGTGTGTCTGTGTTTGTGTCTTAAGTAGGAGACTATCTGGAATTTAGACACATAGTGTGAGTGGATGTACACGTTGTAACTGAGACCAGCACTTTTACTGAAATGAATGATGTCAAGGGTTTCTGTTCTTGTGCATGTGTCACAGATGCAGTTGGCTGTAATGTCATCGCTTGACATCATTCTTAGTGTTTTTACTCTTCGTATACACATTTTCTTTTAATCCAATCTTATCATACTGTAAAATATACTTCCCAGGAAAATTGCTTATTTGGGACCCCATATTGATGTCTTTCTGCAGTAGAACTGGAATCGCTGTGGGGCTGTGAAATTTTCATATTTCTGTTTATAGGAAAAAATGTAGTTCTGGGGCTACTTCTTAATGCCATATTGCTTTATCTCTCTTTATATATCTTTCAAGCACACTGAAGAATTCCTTCTTGTCCACTGTATCCTCTTTTGTGATCCAATCCACCTGCATTTCCTCTCTTACGTCCACGGCAGCTCTGTCTTCAGCATCCTGCTCTAAATATACCCACTACCTCACTTCACATGTCCAAACCAGCTCAGTCTCTTTGCCTTTGAACTATCTGAGCGCTTCCTTTAAAGCATTAGTTCCACATTAGTTCTAACTTGGCATCTCATTGGGATATTTTTCTTTTTTTATTGATCTAGGTGAACGATATAAACTTTGAGAACATGAGCAATGATGATGCTGTTCGAGTACTAAGAGACATAGTGCACAAGCCGGGGTAAGCGAATACAAAAGCAGCATCTATAACACAGGAGTGCAAAAAGACCAATAATTAACTGTCTATGTGTCTTTTTTACCAGCCCCATTACTCTGACAGTTGCAAAGTGCTGGGACCCAAACCCTCGGAGCTGCTTTGCTTTGCCCAGGAGTGAGTGGTTGTTCTGCAATAACTATACGCAGTGACACATTTTTTATTTTTTACTTGAAAGATTTTGTAATAACCTCATTAATTTCAGCTGCTTTCCCTCTCTTTAACAGGTGAGCCAATCCGGCCTATCGACCCCGCTGCATGGGTGTCTCACACGGCAGCCATGACTGGGGTGTACCCTCCATATGGCATGAGCCCTTCCATGAGCACAGTCACCTCCACCAGCTCCTCAATCAGCAGCTCGATCCCTGAGACTGAACGTGAGTCACATCACCCCCCGAAGCTGCCCGTTGGAGCTTGTCATCAGTGCACTTTTATCCAAAGCAACTTTCATCCTCATCCCACATGGTCTCCACATTTAAACTGTACCACCTTTTGAGTTTTTAATGTACCTCTTTTTACTCTTTTGTTCCTCTTTTTTTTAGTTTTCTCCTTTGTTTCCTGGTACCTCTTTATAGCCTACTTGTTAAAAATAAAAACATTTGAGCATTTGAGGAAGAAAATAACTCCAGGTTTGTCATACCGCTTGGAACATTCAGCTCTCCCTCCTTGTGACCACCAAACCTCTGTTAGTAAGTCTCCGTGTTAAGTGCGGCCCTTCCCTCTCACTACATTCCTGTGACTATTATCTGTTCCAGCTTTTGCTGTGTTCAGCCTCAGCTACCATCTGCTCGTGTCCAAATAGAGCCATAACTCACAACTTTCGTGTCTCCTTTAATCTTTGGAAGTTTTGCGATGCCTTTTCTTTTGGGAGAAAAATTTCCTTTTCTCTTGAAACATTGTTTAACTTGCCTTTTACCTATTAGTTACATGTCTATAATTCACTTAATAGAAAATATGAATGCCCTTTATCTTATTACATATCCACAATGTATTGTGAAGGGATTTTTTTATTTTATTTTTTTATTAAAGAAGAAATGAAAAGTCTATTGAAATGGAGGCAGATGAGAAGGGACACTGTGACGCTTAGTCATGATAGCTGGTCTGAGAATGGACTGAAACTCAGTGAGATTATATGTAAGATACATTAGTGTTCTAGGGAGGACATGTAATTCACTGTGGTCTGGCTCATCTGGGGGATTTATCAAATCCAAGTCAGTTGCAGTCCACTTCAAACAAAGATCCAGTCAAATCCAGTCTTGATTCACGATTAGAACAGAACGGGGTCAAATAACAGCCGAGACCACAGGAAACCAAATATTTTTGAGGCAAATTCCAAAACAGGCCAACATATTTTTTTTCTTTAACCCCAGAAAACAGCACTCAGTAGTTCTTTAATTTTAAATGTTTTGGAAACAAAACACAATGTGGCTCAACAGTTTTATACTTGATGGAGCCGAACCTCCTTAAACCAAAATGTTTCAATTTCTGATTTAAAAGATTTAACACCACCTACATGTTAACTTGCTCATGTCATCTTTCCTAGGATTCGATGACTTCCACCTCTCGATTCACAGTGACATGGCAACGGTTGCTAAGGCCATGGCCTGCCCAGAGTCAGGTCTGGAGGTGCGAGACAGGATGTGGCTCAAGATAACCATCGCTAATGCCTTTATTGGTACGTCTGTCAAAGCGAGCTTGACTGGGCTTTTTAAAAATTACGCACACATACACAGATCTTCTCAGCTTTTAGATTGAGTGTTTCACTGATGCCAAAGCAATACCTAAATACTGCTTCGATTAATTCAGTTGTTTTTTACTTTTTTTTTTTTTTTTTTTACATTTTGGAAAAAAAAATGTTTAAATTCCAACAACTGAGAAACATTCAGCATGAGATCGAATTGCCTTCATTATACCAAGGTGTATTACCAGGTTACCAGAGCTCAACAAAAATCAATGTTAAATTGAAGTATAGATAAATTAACCACCATCAGATTTATGTAAAGTTGTCAAAAAAGTTTTAAATATGATCAGTGAAGCTGTAGCCTCACGATTTGATTTCTAAAACATGTGCTTCAGGTTCTGATGTGGTGGACTGGCTCTTCCATCATGTGGAAGGATTCACAGATCGCCGTGAAGCTCGTAAATATGCCAGCAATTTGCTGAAGGCTGGGTACATCCGACACACAGTCAATAAGATCACCTTCTCTGAACAGTGCTACTATGTCTTTGGAGACCTCTGTGGCAGTAAGTGGACTTTGAGCTCACTGATCTGCTTAGAGCGTGAGCAGTAACAGCAAGTTTCGCCAAAGTTTAAGTGGGATGCGACTTGAAAATCTAACGGAGTTGTCTTCTCTTTCCCTCAGACATGACCCACTTGTCTCTGCATGATCAGGATGGATCCAGCGGTGGTGCCTCAGATCAGGACACCCTCCCCCCTCTGCCCCATCCTGGGTCAGCCCCTTGGCCCATGGCCCTGCCCTACCAGTTCCCTATTCCACACCCTTACGATCTGCCGCAGCCCTTCCATGGTGGACCAGGAGCTGGTAGTGCAGGGAGCCAGCACAGTGGTTAGTGCAGTTTAATTAAGTCCTCAACAGATAAATTTCAAGCACTTCATATAAAATTACAATGTTAATTTTGCAGTTTCTCCTCAAAGAAAAATCAAGATTCATGTCAGTAGCACACGGTTTCCCTAAAACTTTTAACAACTATGCTTCTACAAAGATGCAGAGCTCACAAGAAGGTAACCAGCCATTGCTGCTGAGGTTCATTAGGGCTTTCTATAGCTGCTTTTTTGTGAAAGAGTTCACTGAAAGACTTTATAAGCCTGTAGACAGATTCTGTGTGAAAGGGATATATTAAGTGATATTACAACATCTCTGCAGTGTTTTACATTTAGTTTATGCTGTTGAGCAGTATGAGGTGTGGAGTTTTACCTCCACACTTTGAATTCACTTATAGGAACAGTGTATGTTTTAATAAGCTGACTTCAAAAACTTGAAGGACACAGCCTAGCTCTGTGAGTAGTGAAAAAGGACTCTTTCCATCACCCCCAAAGTCTTCAGATGTTGGGGTTTCTGTGTTTAATGTGTGTGGAACTAGAAAAGCAGACATTGTGGTTTAAGGTGCAGTTTCCTTACACACTGGAGATATTTACTAACCAACAACAGCTGGGCCCACTGAGACAACATCTTAGATGCTCTGTACTCATTTAACTTAAATGCACGGGTGAGTAGTGCACAAACTAGCAGGATGCAGAATGTAAAAGACAAAGTGTTGGGGTTTGGGTTTGCTTTAATATTTCTGGTGGAGAAGAGATTTTTTTCCCCCCATTCTTCCAGTGTTTGTGCTAAGACAGGGTAACATCCTATACCTCTCTCTCGCGCTCTTTGGTAGACACAAAATTAAGCTGACATGAATACTTTCCTATGTTTTTGGATTTGATGACATGCATTGGACTAAAGCATCCTCCACATCAAGTTTCTTTTTAATCAGATGAGCTGTTTTGGTTTAAATTAATCACTCTCAGGAACTTGCCCTAAAATTAAGCAGTCTGAGCGGGATAATAAAATAAAGACCTGTGACTGCCTTCAGGAATAGCTAAACTGTTTGGCCTGAATGCTCCTAGACGATGTCAGCATTAGTCATGCAGCTCTCCCAAGAGTCTCCTGCAAACTGGGTCAGCGCTGCCTTCGTGATGTCATTGGCACCCAATTAGAAAAAGATGTGATTTTTATTTTTTTTAAACATACATCTCACTTGCATAATAATTTTGCTTTTTTTCTGTTCACAGGGAGCAGCGGTTCTAACTGTAGCAAGAATGAGGGCCGAAAATCCGGTGGCAGTGGCAGCGAATCAGACATCAGGAGCCACCGGGCACCAAGTGAGCGCTCAGTGGCTCCCCCTAGTGAACGAAGCGTCCGCAGCTCTGTGAGCCACCGCAGTGCCAACTCCCACTCTATAGCCTATGGGCCTGGTCTTGTGTACGGCCCCCCTGGCCTGCCCCCTCAGCCACCACATCTTTCTACAGCTGCACCTGGTGCCCCACCAGGCAGAGAGCTTGCCTCGGTGCCCCCTGAGCTCACTGCGTCACGGCAGTCTCTGCGAATGGCGGTGGGCAACGCCGGAGAATTCTTTGTTGATGTGATGTGACACCGGTTATAGAGACCTAAAGGCAGAAATGGAAACCACCCTGTTGTGTATGCTGAGAGAAAATGCTCCTCCTCTCTTGTACTTTTTCTTAGTAGTTGTAGTGGTCATACTTTCTTCAGTGAAGAAACACCCCCCCACCCTGCTCCAGATGGAACCAAAGCGCCTTTCTCAGTTTCCGCTCCATGGTGGGGAAGAGTTTTAGCAAGGACAAAGAGCAGAAGAAGGGAGGGAGGCAGTGGAAATGGTCAGCTGGGGAAGATGACTCAGTGCTTTTCCACATGGATGTTTTTCATTTGTTCTTCTTTTCACTCTTCCCTCCCTCCTCTGGGTTCCTTATCTAATGTTCTCTGTCCTCCCCCACCCCTGTCCACGTCAAAACTGAGAGAGACTGAAGCCTCTTCCCTCTTCCTGTTTTTTTTTTTTTTTCCCCCACTTGCTGACCTCTAACAAGAAAAAAAGAATGACTGAAAGAAGCTGAAATGAACACTAACTGTTAACCTTATTCAGACTTTTAAAGTATTTGCTTGACTTAAGAGAGAAAGAAAGAAAGAAATGTATGTAGTGCAAGAGAATTACAGTCCATACTTTGAGAATGCATTTGTTTTATTATATTTGTAGCTGGTCACAACTAGTTTCTTTTTCTTTTTAATGCTTAATATGAGCATCCAGTTTCCAGAGTCGTTTTTATACGGCACAACTACATTTTCATCTGCTAACCAGCGAATCTTCAGATTGTCTTGTGATAATGTATAGTGGAAAAAAAAAATTCTTACCATGACTTTCACACTACTCTTTTATCAAGGAAAATGTCTTTTTATTTATAAATATAGTTTTATGACTTAAATCTGCTGCTTCTGTTTTGTTTGCTTGCGTATACCTTTCTGCAAAACCAAAAACTGAAACCTAGTGAGTTTATTCTCCCCCCCCTCCTCCCTCCCTTCTATGGTACCTGAGGTTATATTTGCATTTAAAAGCAGTGGACTGCAAAACCGTCCAGACGCAGGAATGTGAAGGGTGGGCAGTCTGTTGTACAGATGTGTGAGTGTGTGTGTGAGTGAGTGAGAGTGGGGCGGGAGCGCTGTGGGAGTGTGCAAACGTTCAGCCTGTGTACATTTGGACTTGCCCCAGACTGAACAACTCTATGCAAAACGTTCCCTGTGGTTTGAGGCGGAAACTCCTGTTGAGAGGCGATTCGGTTTAGTTTGGAAAATAAAATTGAAGTTGACTCTGAAGGACAGGGTAGAACAAGACCACCCATACTACCACCATGGAAAAAATAAACAAAATGCAATAGTGTTTTTTTTTTTCTTCTTAAACTTCCTGGAGCCAATGAGAAATTGTCGATGTTTAACAAGTACAAATTCATGTGAGCGCAATTCTAGCGCACTTTCCGGTTATTAAACATAACCATTATCTCCCGTAAAACGTGAAATGTTTTACGGAATAACTGGCCAGTAACCCTTGTCGCTTATCGTATCGAGGCCTGGGTGCGGTTTACACATCTTTCCAGCCGCGCCTTTTCCTGTCACGGCGGAACGGCTGTGCGTAAGGACGGCGGGTCAGCTGACAGCTATCAGAGGACCAGGAGGAAGGAGCGGAATTAGCGGGCGTGTGAACTGGGAACCTACTGGATCCTGACATAAGCTATCCGAGGCCGAACGGAGAGGCAAAAGACTGGTGGCGTTCTTGAGAGAACTAGGGTAAGGTCACGAAAGACGAAAGGACTGCAGTTTTTTCGTTAATTAGGGTAACTGTAGTCCGGAAACCTTTACGCAAAGCCGGTGAAACTGTTTCATTCGTGAGCGATGCTAACGTAGCAACATTAGCCGCCGTGGCGCTAGCTAACATCAATCCATTAGCACTAACTAGACTGATAACGGAAAGGACTCGTTTTTCCTTCAAATTAAAAGCAAGCAAGGGCCCCCTTGTTAATATCTCTTATTACGTTATATATTACCCAACATTGTTGAATAACCCGTGATGTATATTTGCATGGCTAACTCGTAAGTTGTCGATGATAGTTAATGGTTCTCTTTAAGGTCCCGTCAAATTGACTGGTTTTCTTTTGACCGGAAGTCCATTTAAAATTCTGCACGGCTCGACTCCGGTTCGCTGAATATCACCGCCAGCTAGCCCGCTATCGTGAGCTAAATTAGCTAGCTTATATCTCATTCGGTGTATTCTCCATCACTTCGATCTTAGTTGAAGGTCAAGCCTCTAACCACAGTCAAGCCACTTAATAATATTTAAGACAAAAAAAATGGTAGCTAACCGACCGCGCGGTGGCCAAGGGAAAACATGAAAAATATGAAAAATGTATGAACGTTAGGAAATGGCCCGAGTGAGCAGACATCTTGACTTCGCCGATAAATGGGCGATTAAAGCCCTCGGCTTCTGTGCGAGGTTTATTCTGTCACGACTCGGCGGTGCTTTAACGAGGAGATATTTTCTCACTTGCGGGCTTATATCTGTGCGGTGGTTTTCCTCTGAATGCTGTTGTGTGTGTAAATTGTCTGGATTCTATCTTCGAGGAATGTCAGGCATGTCCTTCATCCTCTGTTTTCCAGAATCTTCATTCTTTAAGGAGGGCACATTTCTGCAAGAATTAAATACCAAACGACAAAAATGTCTTTAGAATATTTTTGATGATATATTTTAATTTTAGAATATAACCCGATTCGGACAACACATGTAAGACGACACTTTAGTTAGGCCATCAGATTTTTAGCTGGCTGTCTGGTGGCATCCGGCGTCAGATTCGTAGCTGCTAATCTCTCGTCAATAATCTTGTTTACTTTAGAAGAAAACGGGGAACTGTCTGTGGTGAGAGTAGTTGCAGTGGTTTTTAGCTTGTACGGAGTAAATAATGTATGCATGTGTGCGTGTCTTACAGGAAAAATGAGTCACCACAGTGGTGCAGCTGCAGGATGTATCCATCTGGCTTTTGTGTGTGTGTGTGTGTGTGAGAGAGAGAGAGTGAGAAGGACAGAAAAAGCGGATGTGAGGGACAAATGCCTCTCTGTACTATTGCTTACTCCCTCACTTTTTCTTTTTTTTTTGCTGCTTTCACTTCTCTACTTCTCTTCCTCCTTTTCCTTCCCACATATCCTGTCTTCATTTCTGTCTTTTCTCAGGAGGGCTTTGGTTTCACCATGGCAGGTTGGGATTGAAGAGCAGCCACGATGATTGGAGGACTGTTCATCTACAACCACAAGGGGGAGGTCCTCATCTCCCGAGTTTACCGAGATGACATAGGGTATGTTCAATTGAGAGAAACCCTGCTCTAATGTTCCCAGATTTTGAGACACTCCAGATCACTGAGAAGGTCCTGATGCAGTGTGGGTGGAGAGCCTGCAGTTGATCCAGGATGAGAGAGGATTATGTCTCTTCTTGGCTAAGTTCACACGTGTCTTTCCTGTTGTTGACCAAATACAAACCTGCACCAGGATTAAATTTAGAGTAGTGTTACTGCCTCTGTGTCGTACTTTTTTTTTTTTTTTAAATAAATGTATATATGGATACAAAAATATTTATTACAGACTTGGTTTATAAGTGACTAAATACAGAGAAGAATAATTGAGAGGGAAAAAGTTATTCTTTTCCATATTGTCTGAGGTAATCATTTGGTTCACTCAAGCTTATCCAACCACACCTTGTTTTTAAAAAGGTTAAGTGCAGCTGAGGGAAAAGCTTTTCCAAATTGATTCACTGTCGACCCTCCCTTGAAGACACAAGTTATTAATTGTTACCATATGGCAGAAAGGTAGAGAGAGGAAGCCTTCTTTTCCTCCCCATAAAGATTGCTTAATATCCTGTAGACATTCATTTACCAGTCAGTGATCACATATTTTAACTTTAAAGTCTTCAATCAAACAGAAGGTTACTCTCTGGGGTCAGGAAATGTCTTAAACCGAATGCATAATATCTGATGTGTGCTGAACTGAAATGTTCGCTGCTTATAACAATACATAAGGTCAGTTAAATCTAGCACATGTTAGGAAAACAAAAGCCATGAAGAAATTCGTGCTGTAGATTGCTTAAAAATCCTTAATTAATCCCAACATGGAGTCCCAATTTGAAATGTATTTTGCAAATTTTGTGGAAAACTGTTATACAGACATAAAGTGTGACTCTAGGCATATCAGGTCAGATCTGTTACTACTGCATAGCTCATTTGTGAGTTCATGTTCTCCCTCCTCAAACTTACTCTCTGTAAAATCACAGAAACTAAGTTTGATTCTCATATTAGGAGTGGAACATATATACCAGAAAAAAAGTTTTTTTCTATGTGAAAGCCTTTACAAAGCAACTTTTATGTTATTGGAAGACCATAACTTATCCTGGCTTAAGTTGTAAAGAGAAACCTTTGACAGTATATTCGCCACGTTGTAATAATGTCCATGAAGGTGACATATATTTTGTACTAAGAGCTGTTTAACGTCTGGTATGACTTGGCTGAGTGCTTGTAGTATCATATTTAGCTCTACAGAGTTAGACTGAGAAAGAGTCACCAATGAAAATAGCTAAATTCGCCTATTAAATTCTGTGTATTCACATTCATTGACTGTTTTGAAGTCCAAGTAGGCTCTTTTCCAGGACTGGCAGATCAGGCCCTTGTAGATTTACACAGTGAAGGTTGACAAGCTGTAGAGGGATAAGTGTATGAACTGATACACTCGTAATCTCCTGTTTTGGGGTGAAGAGATACATTTTTGACCTTTTTTAACATTTAATCTAATTATTGAAGGCATGGTGACACCACAAACACAGTCGGGGAGAAAATGGGTTGAATAGCAAGCAGTGTGCTGCATTGCAGAACTGTTCAGTATGACCTGTTGCCTCGAAAAACTGAGCCACTCAGACACCACTTAATGGTCTGAGTTGGCTTCATGCAGGGATCTGTATATTCATTCTGTGCTGTTTTTAGCAGGATCAGTAAAGTAATAGTTTTCTTTATTTTTCATGGTTGCTCCTTCCTTGTCAGCTGTAGCACAAACACAGCTGCTTGTTGTGCTTTCTGAAACGCAGCGCTGCGTGTCCTACAGAATGGCAGTGAATAAGGAAAGGTATTGACTTCGTATTACGCTTACAGGGTAAAAAAGGCTGGAGAAAATTCTAATGTCATGTTCTTGCTTGCACATTTCGTCCTTTATCTTTGATGTGTGAACTCATCAGCATCGGTTGCTATTGGTGATCCTCACTGTTGCAGAATGCAGGGTAAACCAGACATGGTGCTTTGCTCAGTATTGTTTTGACAGCTACATTATGAACTGAGTTTTTAGTTGAAGCTGTCATGCAACTTGGTTTTCTTGAAATAACAATTTGGTAATGCAGTGGCATAAATAATCTTTCACTTGCCATGTTGTTGTGTTGTAAAGCACTAGATTAAGGAGCAGTATGATACTGTTGACCTTTTCCCAATATATTCAGCTATAGTGATGGCATCATAATACCACCATGTTACTCACTCTGTCTACATGATGCACGAAAATGTCTCTTGTGCATTTTTGTCTCTCGTGTCCTTTTACTTCATTCGTGTCTCCTCTCTATCCTCTGTATCACCATTTTCCTCCATCTGTTCATCTTGGCCCCTGTAGGAATAGGTAAGAGATGCTCGAGCCTCTAAAGCATGACCTCTCCTTCTCATGGCCACCAATCAATGACCCCATGATCCCCTAAAGTGCATGCCCATTGACTCCACAGTCAGACTCCTGATACTTTCTCCAAGCATGAGTCACCCGTCATGCCATTACAGTGGTAAATAAACCGCCATATACTGAAATATAACAGCAAATCAGTCATAGCCAAAGAACTTGGCCACTTCAGTGAATAGTCTTGCTCACAGTCAGTTCTGCTGATGCCTAAGCATGTAGTCTGAGCATGATTAGATAGTCCTCTGATCCTTTGCCCTAATTATTGTTTTTTTCTTCCCTTCAGATAAATTGAACAAATGGTTTTAAATAATCTAATGGCATTTTTGTAGATGTTAACAATGATTTTTGTGTATAAATTTTAATAGATGGAATGATTTAAATCTGAAGCTGATCTAATAAGGTGGAACGTCTAGTTAATAGCTGCTGTTCAATACACTGTGATCTGGGTGAATTGACAGTTGATGTAATTGGAATTCGCTACATTTGAATTGCAAAAGTAGTCCTCCCCATTTTATTTCCTCAAACAGTGGATGGGGCATTTATGTACTTCAAATGCATAAGAAAGCAGAAATAAGACTGCCAAACACAGGCCTAACTCCCTCTGTTTGTTCAGTGCAACTGTCATGCTAAAACGCATTGTTCTCATGTGTTCCTGTTTGCCCCAGTAGTTATTACATTACACTGTGGTTATGGAAGTGAGTAGTGACTGGAGTTTCTATACATGGTTGTTTTTGTCAAATAGTAGGCTATTGCTCTGAGCACAAGTATTTGTGTTAACACGCAGATGATGATTAAACCTGCTACCCACTGCACTCATGCTGTCACAGCTTTGCTTATTAAACATGAAATAAGTCATGAGGCAAAGTTAACATTAGCCAACAAACTTTTTTTTTAGCATCTACATCAATAAGCTCTACAATTGCAGACTTAGAATTTCTCCAACATGCCGCGTCAGTATGCCACAGTACATATTCGCATTTCTTATAACCCTTCCGCATTTAGAACGTTTTACAAACCCTTCATTCCTTAAGAGTTTTTTGTTTGGTTTTTTGTTGTTTAAGTGAAACATTTTCTTGTATATGCAGCAGCAACAAACAAGATTGCGTTTAGTTATCATTCATTTATTTTTACATGGCCTGTATTTGACAGGCAGCTCTTAACCGCAGCGCTGGGCATCATTAGAGTTCAGCTTTTTATTTGGGGATATGCAAATATACTCAAATCGAACAACCTTCATGCTGTTGTACAGTAGAAAAGTAGAACATCAGTGTTTGAAAGGCTTATTTGCAATGTTGCCTGGTTAGGAGATACTCTTATCTACTTATTTTGGGGTTTGTAAAGGTGGGAGATCGTGGCTGGAAAAGGCCCTGAAGATGTTCCTGGGACAGTGGGATTTGCCAATTCTTGTCAGAACTTGCTGCATCCCTCATACAGAGCCCTGTCATCTATAAATCCATGTTAATCATGGTTGAGTTTCGGCAATAAGCTACAGTATACTTAATGTAGCATGCAATTCAGATTATTTTGCTCTTTTTTTCCTCTCTGCCTTAATAAAAAGACATTAAAACAAAGATCAGATTGTGCAAGATTAGCTGTGTGATTTAGTTAGGTTTTTTTTTTTGTTGTTCCTATAAAGTTGAGTTAATTATGACATTGTTGCGTTGATGTCTCAGTTGTCTCTTCATGGTAATTATCCCACTTTACACAAAACAACACCAACTTAACATGCCCCCTTTCTGTTGGTTGAATGTGTTTGTGGTAACTGGTATCTATTCAATGAATATATATGTTCCTGAGGTATTAAGAAGTTGTTTGTTATGAGTCTGGGCTGAGCTTAACTTGTAGTTAAACTGCAGGAGTACTTTCACATGATGTCACACTGTTGTAAACAATTATCTCAACTTCCTCTCCTCTTTCTATCTTTCGTCCTTGCATCTTAGGCGTAATGCTGTGGATGCGTTCCGCGTGAACGTGATCCACGCCAGGCAGCAGGTTCGATCGCCGGTAACCAATATTGCCCGCACCAGTTTCTTCCACGTGAAGCGCTCCAACATCTGGTTGGCAGCCGTCACCAAGCAAAATGTCAACGCCGCCATGGTGTTTGAGTTCCTTTACAAAATGTGTGACGTCATGACCGCATACTTCGGCAAGATCAGCGAGGAGAACATCAAGAACAACTTTGTGCTCATCTATGAGCTGCTGGATGGTAGGTGATGACAAGCGCTCGTGTGAGAGATCAGTTAAATTTTCTAAATATGTACATATTTATTTCTGTTATGGTAGAGTGTAAATAGTTTTATTTTTGGGAAAAGAGGTCACTGCTTTAGTCTGTTCACTATGTTTGTGTCCAGGTTAAAGTCAAGGCAGAGTCAACAGGTTGTGTTTGGCCCTACATGTCCTAGTTTTCCCTTCTTACCCAACAAGCTGTGTTTGTTCATACAGAGATCCTGGACTTTGGCTACCCCCAGAACTCAGAGACTGGGGCACTGAAGACCTTCATAACCCAGCAGGGCATTAAGGGACAGGTCAGTATAAATGAATGCTGAACAAGGGTACACTCTCCATTTCCCAGACTGTCAGTGTCACAATATGAAACACTAGAAATGAAAAAGTGCATATCCACTTGTCATGTAGGAAAAATAAATAGAGGGTTAGCGGTTAATCAGTGTCACGATACTAAAATAAAATGTATAAAATGAAATTTTCTTCTTTTGTTTGTTTGTTTTGTTTTTGTCTCATTGTTTTCCCTCAACTGCAACCTTTGGACACTTCAGCACCAGGTAACGGCATACTGAAAATGTGTTGATCCATGCTGATAATCTGAGCTGATGATCCCCTTTTGACTTTTGTTAGTAGTGATACATTTTCCCTCCCTGTTTCTCAGACAAAAGAGGAGCAGTCTCAGATCACCAGCCAGGTGACGGGGCAGATTGGCTGGCGTCGCGAGGGCATCAAGTATCGCCGCAATGAGCTCTTCCTGGACGTACTGGAAAGCGTTAACCTGCTTATGTCACCACAAGGTGTGTTTATGGCACCTTTAGAAAAAGTGACAATGAAAATAAAGTGTGCACTGTCTTTCTGTAAATTTCTCGTTCAAATCATGCAAATGCAAAATAATAAAGCAGATTTTTGTTTTTGTCTTCTTGTCTCATATCAGACATTTTTCCCCAGCAGCAGTAGGTATTAACGTTTACAGTTGCAACTCATGATTGAGATGATTATGGGTGTCTCAGTTACAAATTTCCAAAACATGGGTCCTTATGTTTACAACGATTACTCAGAAAACACGTTTAGAGGTTCTACTGTTGTCTTGGAAATGCATGTATTTTATTTTGAAAGTGATAAATTTTAAACTTGTGATAACACTGCTACTTGTTTTCATACTTGAGACATAAATTTCTAAGTAAGAGTTTAATATTGAGCAGCATTAGATCCCACAAATAAAACCGTTTGAGCTTCATGTGATGTCTTTGCCTAACATAAGCATTCCCATACAGGGCAGGTCCTGAGTGCTCACGTGTCCGGCCGAGTCGTGATGAAGAGCTACCTGAGTGGAATGCCCGAGTGCAAATTTGGCATGAACGACAAGATCGTCATCGACAAGCAGGGCAAGGGAGGAGCTTCTGATGATGCAGGGAAGAGGTGAGTGATATGCATTTTATTTTTAAAACCACAACAGGAAATGTCATTGTCCAAGTTTTAAAAGCCCTAAGTTATGCTTGTCTGTGTTAATATTGTCTTGCTTGCAACGACACGGGGTTTACAATTTCTTTTTCGTTTTTCTTTCCTTTGGATGCATCTCTTTCTTTCCCTCTCTTTCTTTTCTATGTGCTGTACCTCAGTGATTTAGGGGGAGGAAGGTACTGTACTGACAAGTGTCCTCACCCTCTGCCACCTCAATGCACACTCACACCAGCTCCCGTCTCATCTCAGCCCTTTAGCAAATTAAGAATTTGTACATCTCATGCACTGTTGCTCCCCACACAGTCAACACAAACAAAACATATCTTTAACTTTTGAGTGTGCTGCCTGGTGGTTGCTTTCCCTCTTTTGGTAGAATTGTTTGTTTGTTTGTTTTTTGCACCCACACCTACCTGCTTGACATCAAATCCTTTACCCAAACACCTAACAGTGACTGATTTGTTTTAAGTGCAGAATAATGACATTAACCTCAACCAGGTGCACATATCTTGGTACTAAGCAGTTGTGTCCCTTTGTGTAGTCATATGATAAACCTTAATTGAGGGAAAGTTGTAGTTTTAGCTTTTGGAGACTGGGACCTTTTTTTGATTTTCCTGTACGTTTTTAGTAATAAACAGGTGGACTGTTCTTTCATCTCATGTGGTGTCTGATGTGTTTTCTTTCCTGGTAGTGGGAAGCAGTCCATAGCCATCGATGACTGCACCTTCCACCAGTGTGTGCGCCTCAGTAAGTTTGACTCTGAGCGTAGCATCAGCTTCATCCCCCCTGATGGAGAGTATGAGCTTATGAGGTCAGTAGATGAAAATTTTCTTTCTTTTTTAGCTTCTTTTTATTGTGAAGTCATGAGAAATTGTTTGGCTCTAATGACATTAAAAGCATCATTAATTGGCATGGATGAACACTGAAGATACTGACTAGGCTTGTTTCTGCTTTACTAATTTACACCGTTTCTTCTCATGCTATTTCTTGCAGATATCGCACTACAAAGGACATCATCCTGCCGTTCCGAGTTATTCCTCTAGTCAGGGAGGTGGGCCGCACCAAACTGGAGGTGAAAGTGGTCATCAAGTCCAACTTCAAACCATCACTGCTGGCTCAGAAGATTGAGGTCAGCTGTTTTTTTTTGTTTGTTTTTTTGTTTTGTTTTTTTCCATGTTACTCTCAACATGTAGCGTTTTACTCAGAAATGCAGAAGATGTTAGGAAAATAAGTTTTAAATTCTAAGAACTTAAATCAGAGAAAATGTGCAGTTATGGGTCAAAAGTTTACCTGCTCTAATTATTTATTGTTTTATCGTCGCTCCTCAGGTGCGTATCCCAACACCCCTCAATACTAGCGGTGTGCAGGTGATTTGTATGAAAGGAAAAGCCAAGTACAAGGCCAGTGAGAACGCCATTGTCTGGAAGTGAGTATCAACTTTGCTGCACATTGGAAAAGTAAATTTGCTTTTATGTTCTCTGAAAAGTTGATGATTAACAACCTCATATTTTCTTTGCTTTTTCCTTTTTTCTTTTTTTTTGGAGTCAAAATGCAATGTCTCACATCTTTCTCTGTGCTTGTTTAGGATCAAACGGATGGCTGGGATGAAGGAGTCTCAGATCAGTGCAGAGATTGAGCTTCTGCCAACCAACGATAAGAAGAAATGGGCCAGGCCTCCCATCTCTATGAACTTTGAGGTGAGATTGCTCACTGGAGTGGCGCATGAGCCTTACTTTTCTGAATGCTAAGTGGACCTTATTATAGAGCTGCTAGCCATAAAAATGGATTTCGGATTAAATCCTACTATCTTCCATGCAAATCATATCCTGCTTACTATTTCCACATAAATACACTTCCTGTTGCAAGAACCCGCGACCTACACCTTGCATGTTTTGGCACGTTTGTAACATTCCTCCTTTGTCCCTGCAGGTTCCTTTTGCGCCATCCGGCCTGAAGGTGCGCTACTTGAAGGTGTTTGAGTCCAAGCTCAACTACAGTGACCATGATGTCATCAAATGGGTGCGGTACATCGGCCGCTCTGGAATCTATGAAACCCGCTGCTAAAGTTGTACCTCCCCCCTGCCAGGCAGCAAACTCACCACTTCCCCTCCCATCTATCCTGTTAAGATTTTTTTTTTTTTTTCCCCCCCTCCTTTTCCTTCCTCTTCCTCCCACAACCCTTATCACTTCTCTCTCACCCCCTCCCACCTCTCCCTAACTAGGTGTTGAAGATTGAAATTTACATTGTCAAAGAAAAAAAAGTAAATATGTTATAATGCACAGATATATGCAAAATGTGAACCATTGTATCGTATATATCTCGTTGTGATGAGTAAACATGAACCAGCCGGTGTCTGAAAGAAAAAGACGAGTGATGCGGGAGTGTCCGGGGGAGCGAACTAGAGGCTTGAAGGGTCCCCCCCCCTCCTTCCCCCCCTGTTGTGTTTATTCAGTGTTATTGTTCCACTATCTACTCAACACTTAGAAGTCCCAAATCTTCGAGTTATCCCTGCTAAGATGATTAGTAGCTGTTGTGGTTTAAAATGAATCCTTATGTAGTTCCTGTATACAAACGTCTCTCAGTAGAATCTACCCTTTTGAATGAATTGACTGATATGTGATCCGTGTTTTCAGGAGTGCTCATTCGGATCTCAAAAGCAGGCAGAGCAGAAATGATGATGTGCAAGCCTTTTGTTTTTTTTTGATAGATTTCCCTGGTATTTTTCCACTACTTCTCCCTCACTTTTTACCCTGGCATTCAGTCAGTGAAGTTAAAACATAAGGGAACATTCCAGACAGTTTAAGCTTGACCATCATCATGATAAGCAAGTCGTGACCCAAATTCACACCCAAATTTAACTTTGGCACACTTGGTTTTCTTTGGGATTCAAAGACGAGGCCCTAGACGTGTTTGCAGTGAGGTGAGGTCTCCCCCTGGCGTTTGCTTTGCACCTGTCTGCTTCTTCATGTTTGTAGCCCTGGTGACCGTTCTGTCCAATTAAATCTGACTCTGTAACCAAACCCACCTGTTTGTTTTCATTTGATGTTATTTTAGGCTGTCTGAATTCTATTGTACCAGTTTCCTTTTCTCATTGTTTGAAATAAGGATGTGCTTCTTTGTGGGAACAGCAGATTTTGTAACAGGAGCAGGTTTGGTTTTTCAATGCAGGTTATATACAATGCCAAAGAATCCAGTTAACATGGAAAATACTGAAAGACAAATGATGGCTCATGATCCAGAAATGCTTTGGCCAACAATTTTAATACATTTTTACTGCCTTGCTCTTTCTCTACATACAGGACATAAAACAAAATTGCCCCAAACAGCAAAATAACACTATTAAAAACACTTCCTGTTAAAACATTTACATGCCTCTTATTAATAGTGGCTATTATTGGCTTGGCTTGCCACTCGAGCCTCCACCACCTTGTAGGTGGATTTGCTCTTAATGAGAAGTTCACTGATTTTATTTTTTTTAATGGAAAAGCTTCCAGAAGAAACAAAGCGAGGCTTCCCAAAACTAGCTCAGCACCAAAGACTAGGCTGGATTTCCTCAAGGAATAATGCAGGGTGAGTACTCAAGTTCCAATTAAGATTTCACCCACAACAAGCCTAGAGCATATCAATCTACATCTGTCAACATTTATATTAGCGTCAACAGTATTGCGTTACATCTTCAGATATCCTGTGATGTTTCAGTCACAGTTACAGAGGGGAGGAAAAAAAAAAAAAAAAAAAACACGATTTATCCCCAAAGATACAGGACATAACACACACAGAGGCTGGACTTAAATATTTGAGCAAGTCACATTGCTTCAGTGCAGGGACAATGGCTCTGTTTAGAAAGGAAACCTTATGCCCATACTTTGTGCTCGTCTTCGGAAACAATCAGTTCAGGGAGGTAGCTACATAAGTGTGGTGCACACAAGCCCAGCTCAGAAAGTGGAAGTCCTGTCTTAAGTTTTTATGATTTGCTGTGTTAGTGTGCTTCCCATTAGGAGGCTTTATTCAGCAAAGAAACCTGTTTTGTGCTTATGAATACTTATTTGTAAAGATGGGCAACCAGACTGTTGTGTATTTTACTTTTTCCACCGCTGCTCATGTTGATTATCTGCTCAAAATGAAGCAGCACAGGTGAAAAACAAAATCTACAAAAATAAGCATTTAAGTATCTACATCAACATCTAAACTGTTGCTGTTCCTCTGTTTACGCCACTGAAAGGCGTCTAGTCCCAAACTAGTCTTTCAAAGACCGATTTCCCGTCTGCAGACACGATTTAAAAGCAAATTTATTACTATATGCATTAAAGTCGTAGCTTACACCAGATCTGTAAACAGGTGGCAAATATTGACAGAACACTTTCAAACATGCCAATTTAAGAGCTTTGACACACGAACATGCGCATACACTGACAAAAACAGGCCCAATTGCAGGCAGGCAGGCGCAAACACACACACACACACACACACACACACACACACATTGGAAAAACGCTGCTGTTTAGTAGAACAAGTGTACTCTCAGATTCAGCTCACACAGGATCTGGAGTTTCCTGGTTATTTTAACAATGAGAAATAAAAAAGAGCCAGGTCTTTGTTTTGTTAGTATGAGCAGAATATAAATTGCCCCGTTGCATGAGCCAGGGCACGTAAAACTTCAATTAATTGACCTGCTCTGACAACCTGCAGCCCGAGATACCCAACAGTGTCTTCGTGATTCCTCGGCTGACCTTTCCGACACCGAATTTGGTGTCAAAGCCATGGCGGGGGGACCCACTCCTAATGCAATACAATGCTAACCTTAATAATACCGTGGTAGACGAGTGCACCGTGTGAAATATCTGTGACAGTGAGTGACTAAAAAACAACACAAAAAAAACCCCCAACGCAAACAAAGTGAAAGATAAATGAAACTTACCTGTAAAGAACTCAAGTGACTACAGCCATAATTTTAACTGATCCTTACACAGGAACAAATAGGATAAAATTGGCCGTTTAAAAAAAAAACAAAAACCTGGCTGTTTTAATGACAGTGAAGTCCTAAAGGTCAAAGTAAAACCATAAAACAAAAAGACATTTAAAGCAGGAGCTCAATGAAATTCACGCTACTCGACAGTGCTACCAGTTTAGCAGAGCTGACTGCGACCTGACAGCGGAGAGCGCGAACGAAGTCTAGTTCTCGTCGTCTTCGTCGTCGTCGTCCTCGCTGATGAGGTATCCGCGGGCCCCACTGTGATGGGGAGGTGAGGGGGGCGGGGAGGTCTTGGAGAAGAAGGGGAGACGGAAGGTGGGAGAGGGAGAGCGCTCCTCGCGGGTGGGGCTGCTGCTGGGGCTTTGTCTGGGACTGATGGCCTGCAACATGCGGCCACGTCCTTCCTTAAGCATGTGTTTCTGTGGAGGCGAGACAAAGGCGGGAACAGATGAGCTGATGATCAAATCTGCTGAATGCAGAAATAATGTGCTGTGCCGTGTGATTTTAAGTCAGTGTGACTTTTCTACATACAGTGGTAACAAAAACACAGAGTACACATGGTCCAGGTGGTGGTTTCTGCCATTGAAATATTTGCAAAGAGGAAACTTGTTTGTAACAGTGCATAATTTTACCATGTGGGTCTCTTGCTTTTATAGCTCTTTTTGATTGAAGTTACATAATTTACTTTCAGCTAAAGAAAGGAAGTCAACTCTCAAAGTAAAGCTCTTTAAGAGTCTCATTTCCTGACGGCTTTTTTCATTGTTACAAGTTTATATCTCTGCTTTAAATCCCAGACACTATCAAAAAACACTAAGACTGCATTTCATTTCTACAGTACCATCATGTCACATATGGGAAGACGTGTGTTTTGGGACTCCGACCTGATATCAGAACTATGAGCTGAAAACTTAGATTTAAAAGTCCCAGGCAAGATCTTGGCCGAGACAAGTGAAAATAAGTTTGAATCTTTGCCTGCCTGTGAGTTCAAACAACTGAAGGACAAAATTAAATGTTCCGATTTGTAGATCACACATATTATGCACAATGGAATTAACCGACTGAGCTAATAACCTAAAATAAAGATAAAAGACATCTATGACTTAACCATCCCCTGGTAACCTCTAGTCGCTAAGGAAAAATGTGTAATCCCGACCAGTTGGCAACTGATGTTGGTGATGCATAAGATGAGCCCTATTGTTCATAGTATTCCCAGAGTATTTACATTTATTTATTAAAATACTGATATTTTGTGTCCCTGTATCAAAACAATACCACGTCACTGTGAGCGGCTGCACAGCAGACACTTGCAGAAATTGCACATTTTCCCCTCACATTGGTGGTTCCTACATTGTCAGTAACTGGTCTACAGTCCTGTGTGACTGAAGCCTACTATCACAAAGTCATGTTATTTTAGTCTTCACCATTTCTACCGTGTTTATGCTTTGTTCATTTACACCAACAATACTCTCACCTCGCAGATGTGTGCATCACTGGCTATAAAGCCTTTCTTTCAAGTGAAAAAGTCTCCCAGACGTTTAACATTGCCAAAAAGCACATGTTTCCAATCAAATTCCTCATTAAATAGTGTTTAAAGACCAAACAAAACCAGCATCCTCACCAAGGCTCCCTCAGGGCCAAACATCTGCAGGAAGTTTCCAATAAACTCCCTGGACTTCTCTTCCCATTTCTGAATCAGGTCGATGCTCTTCTCCTCCACCTTCTGGACAAACTCCTTGCTCTTCTCCTCTACGTCACGCACCTTCTTCTTCACCTTGTCCACGCGTTCCTGGAGATGGTACTTCTTCTCCTGTTAAGGGTGCACGTGACAAAGGAGACAGGTTAACGAACACATCCACTGTCTGTTTAACGTCCGGTTAGAGCAAAGCAAAGTTTCGTACATTGATGAAGCTGACGTTGAGCTCCTTGGCTGTGTACCCTCGCTGCAGATTGCGCCTGACATATACATCATAGTCGCGGACTATGCGAGTGATGATGTCAGAGGTGGAGATGCCCTCTGTCCGCTGGGTGGGTGCAAACATACCTAAAGAAAGCAGAAAAAGCTGTAGCGATAAGAGTTTCTGGACTTATCCAATTTGATCCTTGTTGACTGCATACCACATTCCTAATCTCCATTATGCTGTTGCTCACCAGCTTCTTTAATGTGCTTGTAAACATCATCACTGCCCGCTGAGGAGTATGGGATGTCGTCGTGGGCCACGAAGTCAATCTGGAGAGGTCATTACAAGCAACACAGATAAACAAAGGGGAGATTCAGATCTACAAGCTGTACAAAAATAAAACAAACAAAACAGTAGGGAAAAAGTTAGCACTATAAAAATGTCTACAGTCTGACTCCAAGTTCTGAGTGAAGGGACTGAAAGTTTCTAGTCGTGGTTTTTAATTCTGTGTCATGTACTCACACGATGTTTTGCAAGAAACTCTGGCGTTAACGTCCAGGGGGCGTTTCGCACTACTTCATCGACATAGCGGCAATGTCTGATAGCATCATATCGCTCATCCTCGTTCATCACTGTGAAGCCCTTGTACTTGTGAGTCAGGTCATCGCTGCACACTGACAGGAAATATTTAAAGAAGTGAAAATTTAAAGTTTCTCCACAAAAAAAAGAGGCTTTGAAAAACTGATTTAAACAGAAGGGAAAGCCATAGAGACAGAAAATACTCAAACACTTCAGCTGAGGGATTTACTGTGACTAAAGTTCAAGGAGCATCATGTAACAATCTCTGATTGCATTGCCATTAAAAACACCACCGCACTGTTTGTTCTTATTTTATTAGACAGTTGGGAACAGAATGTGACGTACGCTCACAGAGCATAAAAATGAAACGCTGAAAGAATATCCAGCTGTTGAACAACATCCAGCAGCTGAGAGCAGCAACACACACTCAAGCTTACCTCCAACAATGAGATGTGTATTTGGGAAGAGGCATTTAGCCTGCATGAGGGCTCTGGCGTGACCTGAGTGGAAAAGATCAAAGATGCCATCTGCATAGACCCTCACAGGTCTTTCAGCTGGACGAACAAATGAGATAAGATATTAGGAGGTGGACAGAGAGAATCAAATGGTTTCATTTTGTCCACATCTGTGAATTTACTTAAGACTGTGGCACCAGAGAGGGAATCAAAGTGTGAGAGATTTAAGCTTTCAGACTCACGTGGTGTTCCCCTCTTGGCCTCTTCCATGCTGACTCTTTTGTAAGCTTTACTATCAGCTGGCTCTAGCTCATCTGCAAAGGGTACAGGGTGCCTGAGCCCCTGAAAGAGACATTGGAGGAGAATGAGATGATATAAAGGATGAATTGTGCATTTTTGTTTTTTATTTAAATTAATTTCCTCACAAATACTAGAAAAACTGTCATCATATCTTTAAAATGATGTAATTGCTCTTTCCTGGACTCTTACAGCATAAACTGATGTGGAAATCAAGGGTGAACGGATGACATTTCCTCAGCAAACATCAGCTGATATCTCACACTGCAGTATTATTGCTTGGGGCTCTTTGCATTGGTGTGCACTTTGTACAGCATTACGCACAAAGATTGCACAGCAAATACGGTGCTGTTAAAGCACAAAGACTCACCACAGTACACCTGGGGATTTTCCCAAACCGTTCACCCTCCTCGGCCTCCCCATTGGAGCCATCTCTTCTTCTCTTTCTTGACAGCAGCAGTGTGCTGGAGCTTTGGGCCTCCATCTGGGTCAAAGGTTAAGACAAGTTAAGACAAGTTAAGACAAGTGCAATTTAAACACCCCACACTTCACATTCAACTCTTTTCCATTAGTAACTAGAGCAGGGCGATATGACCAAAAATATTTATCACGATATACATTTGAAAATTTGCAATAACGATATAAATGACGATATAATTGACGCTAGACAAAATACTTTACAACTCCTCAACTTTATTAGTGCAAAAAAACAAACAAAAAAACCAAACAAACCCATCAATGTACTTTCACTTAAACAAGCAGCTTTTTTAAAGTGCATTAAAGTTATATAAAAATGTAACAGTGCAAATGCAAATTCCTTGCTGACAGTTTAACCAAAAGGCATTTCCAGTGGAAATTGGCCGACATATCCTCAGCATAACCATGTATAATATCCACAAAACTTAAGAGGTTATACACACAATATGGTAATATTATGTTGAAGCACAGTACGTATCACTCCGCGAGGCGCCTGACTACGGTAGCCGTAATGCACCGACAATCATCAAGCAGTGCGGGTTCGTAGCTTAGCAAAGTCGTACTGAAACATTTGACAGATTTTCGAGCGCCGTGTACCACATAAAATCGTTTCGAGGTCAGTAAACACAACCAGAATTCATACAGAAGGCACACGGGATTATAAAGGGCACTGTCGATTTTTAGAAAAATCAAAGGATTGATTTTAAGTGTGCTGTATTTTCCAAAAAACACGGTAATAACGACGGCCCGCTAGCATGCGCTACCAAAAATAGTGCTTTGTTGTGTATCTGACGGATGAAAGCTAAACCAGTTCCACACCACTGAAGTTGCAGCATTTATACAAACCAATTCTGGTTCATCCGTTTCATTTAACGATCCACTTTCGCCCTTCTCATTCTGCATCGCCGCCATGTGCGTATGTAAACAAAGGCACTGCGCATGCGCGTTTTACCCATATTCTATCGCGATATTTCATTTTCCTATCGTTGCCCAACATTACACCGGTATTACCGTGAACGTTATGATATAGCCCAGCCCTATTAGTAACACTTTATGTTGGGGGTAGGAACTGTATTACATAATTAAAGCACACAAGCACACTCAAAATATAATATACATCACGGACAGACTGTAAATTTATACAGCTGTCGTGTTATGACAGGTGATATATGCCGAGTCACCTTTGACCCAGAAACTGGGAGAACACAGTATGAACCACCATGACAGATTCTCACATCCATAGAGATACAGGTCAAGTGAAAATCAAGCAAACACCACCTGTTCCAACATACCATAGTTAATTCCTAAACATACAGAACATTAACCCCATTCAGCCTTTACATCTGATGCCTCGTGTGAGATCAAGTTAGCCTCACATGTGGGAACATTAAACCCAGCCCCGTTTCTCCAGTGTCAGCAGGTCACCACAAGTTGGCGTATTTTTATACTCTATGCTGATAGACTTCAGCTGACTTTGTGATACACATAAGAGCCTGCTGGATGCCTTTCCACAACTTTATGGCACAGCCTGAGATATTTGGAGGAAGCTATAAAAGAATACTTCTTGCAAAGATGAATAATCCCCTCATGAGACTTCAGTCGGCTTCTCTTATCAAACCTACAAGTTCACATTATAAAAGTTATTAAACATTAGAAATGCTTGCTTTCAAAAATGATTAACGAGTAATCCATAGCCAAAATGACAACCGAATACGTGTATGTTCATTAATCAACCATGCAGAAGAGAACAAATATGGGAAGGTCTTGTGTTTGTATCTTGTCTGCAGTGTGTCTGTGCCCTTGTAACAAAAAAAAGAGACTCTTTAGCATCACATGACATTTAGCTTCACGACTCATTCAAAACAAAGAAGTTCCAACCACCCCGACAGTCAGAATATAGGAAAAAGTCAAGTCTATAATCTAAGTGTGCTAGTGTTATGGGTGGAGGCTCTGCCTCATTCCACACATTCCATCAAACCACACATCATTAAAGTGGATATTCACATTTTATGATTAACCATGGCACTTCCTTAAAGGAGACATACTCAGATATCCAGCTCCATATTATTATTAAACTAGAGTAGATGTGGATTGTTTATAGTTTAGGATAATCCCAATTTATCCTTTTACTTAACACTAGTTGTGTCTTAAACAAGTTTTTATCTGTTCTCCCTTTATGACCACTTTTATGTCAAATTCATCTAACAAATTCATGCAGACAGCGCCAATACTTAAAAAACCTGATGCTTTATTGCATATATTTATTTCACCCGTCATATTTCACACACTGTTCAAGTACATATCATGTTTTCGCTGTTTTGTTTTTATAGTTGTGTGTACTTTTCTTTTTAAGTTTTAATAGTGATCTATTTTGCTGGGTCATGAAAAGCACTTCACAACTATGTTTTTGGAAAGTGATATATGAATAAAGTTCAACATTGGTATCCAGATTTGAGAGCATTAACAACTGACCTAATTATCTGAAAGTTTTACAATAAATTTAGAAGAAATAGAAAAGCAAAAGAAAAGGTTTCTTTTAACTTGCGATTAGGTCATAATAGCCCCCGGCTGGACATCTGCTGCTGTGTCAGTTATGAAACTGTGACTCAGTACAATGAGTGAAGGACATGGCAGCTCAACATTCCTGGTGGTGACAGCTACCTGATCCAACACTGGGCACTTGCACAAACGCCCCCCTCCTGCCAGCAGCTGAACACTGGGACTGAAAAGTCCTACAGGGCTCCCACACAGTGACAGAGAAGATTTAGATGAAGAGCGCATGTCATCATCACTGAAACTGACTGCTATAATAAGAACGCAACAAAGAGGCCAGTGCCAAGCACTGTGTGAATAAGAGCTGTGCAAATGAGGTACATGATCAAACCTGTAAAATGATTAAATAACACAATGCTTCTCAGCAAATCCAAGAAAACAATATAATGTATTAAGCTTGTAGTGATTACCTTAACCCTATAAGTTTAGCCTTCTAACCTTTTATTTATTTAAACTTTATTCAAATTGTATTTTATTGCTTTGTCCAGCACTTTGGTCAGTGGTTGCTCTTTTTGTAACTGCTTTATAAATACTTGGCTAGCCTAGTACAGAATCATCTTTATTTCTCTTTACGTTCTCAAAGCTAAAAGAGACTTTTCGATATCTTTCTTAAGCCAACTATCAGGCTTAAACCTGCATATCTTCCAGAAACACATCAAAAACTGAAATGAGACACTGACTGCGGCACTGTTCCACAAATGACTCAAATGATTAATCATTGATTACAGGAAGTTACCTGTTCAAATTCGGGTCACATCTAAGATTAGTAACTGTGTGCACATCCAACGCTGTCTTAGTTCGTACAGTAAGGTTTAAACACAGAAGTTATTCGGCCCTGGCCCGGCTCACTAAAGGTCCTCCGACCACACTTTGAAAACCACACAGCATTTAACACAATGTTCCCAATGTCTAGTATCCCTGGGAAGTTATAATGCTGTTCAGTAAGGCTGCAAACACATGCAAAGTTGACACAGAGAGTGCAACAGGCATCTAACCTCAACTATTGACAGGAGAGACACCAACAGCTGACAGAGGGCTTGGTGATAATAGTTGTGAAGTACAGCAGTAAAAAAAAAAAATTGGCTGTGCCGACTTTTTCGCCTCTCACTGAAATTCCCAACCTCACTAGGCTAAAAATCCCGTCTCGTAACATTAGCTAACGTCAGGTATCTGTTTGAAGTTTCTGCTTGCTTACCTTTCGCTGTTTTGTTTTTTTTTCGGAATGCTGCCTTGCACGAGTGGGCGGCTTGCTACCCTCGCAGTGCCAGCAGGCTAGCTGGCTGAAAGCAAGAAAGCTAGCTAACGCTGCTAGCCACCCTCAGTTGCTAGTTACCAATCTACCTTTTAAAGTTGGCCGCCTATTAGCTAACTTTAGCCGTTAGCTCGCTAGTTCGCTAGCACAAGTGACAACGGTAAAGATGAACAATCCTGTGCGTCCAACGTCCCAGTATTTTCTGTGTCGCTGTCAAAATACCGCATCAACCAGAAGGACAGACAAATTCTCAGCAGTGACAGCCTATACTACAAGGCTGACAGGTCAACAACACAGGAACTACAAAACTTGCACGTCCTTAAAGGAACTGGTACAACAACGGGCGCTTCCGTGACTGTACTCGACTGCCACCTACTGGAATTATTCTTCTACTTCTTCTTTTTCTGGTGTTTGCCAGCAGCTGGCATCGTTTTACGTTGCATCGCCCCTTCTATATCTTTAGTTTGTCATTGTCCTTTCGTTCTAAGTCGTCCTAATGAGAAGATCCCTTTCGATAAATAACATTCTCCTTCTCTCTGTTGTGTCCCACACATAAGCATAATGTATAACCCTAAACTTTGCATGTTTCTTATCAGCTCTCTTGCTTTGTAAAACTTCTTGTACAAGATTAAGACATTGCACACTTTCTCTTTCCTGATTACAACAAACAGTAGGATGCTTTCCTGCAGTAAAAATGTTCAGTGTAAATGACTGCGTCCTGTTCTCAGCCTACAAGCGATCTCTTGTTCTTTCCGATTAGAGTTCCTGCTTCTTATCTCTCCCACCTTCTTCTGTAACTTCAGCTATTTATCTACACATCTCTCCAATGACTTTGACAGTTTTATATGAATATCTGTGTTTTCTTTGCTATTCACAAATTAGCAGGCGAACATTTTATTCTTTGTTTTGCTTAAGTGTGATCTGCACTGTCATACTACCCTGGTTATATTCTTACACAATTTCCTACTTACCCTCTTACTCAAGTAAATAAAGCATTGTCACAGTATAAAACCCTCCCAGTAAGATAGGTTACCATGATGAGTCACAAGGACCAGTACATTATACAACACAGACATCACTGGTTAGAGAATGAAAAGGCAAGGTCTAAAGATAATTCTTTAGACCTTGCCTTTTCATTCTCTAACAATATAAATTTATTCTTACATCATGTTGATATGCTTAATTATCAAGACTGTTGCTGGCATGTGACTAATCTGGTAGTGACTGTCTGGATCTATGCAGGGCATACTGTAACTATGACAATCTAATCAGCTTAGATATTCACTGATTTACTATAGAAAGGCTTAAAAGATCTGTGTACTGAACACAGTCCTATTCTGGTAAGTAATTTATAACCACCACTGAACAGTATTTTTTTTAGCTCTATGTGGGCTGAGTAATGGTGACTGTGGGGGGTCATTGGTGCAAGATTTTTTTATTTTATTCAACGGTTTCAAATTTCTTCCTGCATCAGAAAATTTGGTAATGATTACAGTCAAGCTGGCCTCAAAGTACGAAAGATATGACACATTACATTGGGTGCTTTATCCCCATTTATGCCAGGTTTTGGACTAGTGTAGTTGGGAACTGATCCTCTTATGTCCAGTAGAGAGCTCCAGAGACAATTTGTAATTTCCACAATAACCTTAAACACATGATACCTTGAAGAAAGTGCTGAAGTTGTGCAATGAAACTGTTTGACTTGAAGTAAAAGGTACAAAGGGGATTATGCTGTGTTATACTGCATGTAAAGTCTTTCCTTCAAGTAGTGGGAAGAATTAAGGTGCCTAAGGGGCATTAAAGTTAGAGGAAGGGTGGGGGCAGGGCAGGACACTAAGGTGAAGATGGATTAGGCCAGTGACTCTGCAGTAAGCAGCCACTGCTTTTTCTTACATCTGAACCATCTTGTTTAGTTAAAAAATACATGTTTCCTGCCCAGCTTACACCCTCTGCAAAACAGACTGATTTATGTTGCATGGAGCTTTGTCTGAGTGTTCAGGTAGACTCTAAGTATATGATACAATAATGGTACTAGTATGGTACTGTTAAAAGGTACTATTATAATAATATAAGAGTACCTTTACCCTTGCATTTAGAGCATGATGTTCACCATTGGCCAGATGTCACAAACCGTCAGACTCACTGTCTCCTTCTTGCACCATTTGATCACAAACTTCTCTACTAGTTTGAGGGATAGAATTTACTCTGCTGCTGAAATGACAAACACAGGGCTGGCTGATAGACCCTGAGAAAAATGCAAAGAAAGCACATGAAGGTTGCAATAAAGCAAATACTAATCAATCACCGTAAATTTAAACATCTGTCTCATCTGAGGAGAGCATTTGGCCTATACAAATATGCTACACACTGAAGCCAACAGCCAATCACAAAAACTCTATGGTCACCAAATACCTGCCGCTTTAATATTTTATTCATTTGAATTCTTTATCAAGCCTTTATCAAGGTGGAACCAGGTCTTGTTGGTTCAGTATTCACAGCTGTACTTATGAAGATTAGACAAAAGATTAGACAAGAACTCTGAGGTTCAGTGGCAGGTGAGCATGTTTGGTTAGTAGTTAATAAGTAAGACTTTGCTTATTTAAAAAAATCTATTAGCGCTGGCAGATGATATGTTTTTATAGGGAAGTTTGTTTTTTTATAGACTGTAGTACTGTGTGTATCTTTTATGACTTTTATTGTGTTATATGTTCCTGTTTTATAGGCCTTTGTGAATAACAACAGTGATGCATAAAAAATATTTTTAAAAAACTATACCCCTAACCATATAACCATATAAATATAAATAAGAGACGGTTATATGGGGATTCTGCCAGCAGGAGGCGGTAATGCTGTTGCTTTTTAACAGCTTTGTGTCCGAAGAAGAGCTAAGTGCAGCCAAGCGCTGTCTCTTCCAGCATCATCAGTCCCCCCTCCGTCTCCATCATCTCCCTTCACAGTTAACGTCCAACAAACTGGGTTCTGTTGTTGTCTGTCTACGTAAATTTGACTTCTGATAGCAGGTGCGTTATTATACTCTTATAACTATGTAATTAGACACGCGTGCGGGGGCATTAAAGCAGAAAAGCTCGGCCGCTGGTTTGCGGGACGTTTCCGTTAGTCGGTTTATTGTAACAGCGGGCCCGCCGGCTGCCATGGAGATTAGCATGCTAGCACAGCTATCCGCCTGTGCTGACATCGCAGCTGTTTATTACATTAGAAACGCGTTTGACAAACGGTGGGCTACATGTAAACTCTTAACACACTGAAAAATAATCCAAGTTACGCGACGAGGATTAAGAAAAAAGATTTTAAAAAGAGGCGCAGCAGCTAATTTTGTGTTTTATTCTGCAGTTATGACATTGGGTGGAGTAGTGATGAGCATCTCGGCTGTGGTCACCAAAGAAATCAATGTCTTTGGATTAGGACACAGTGTGGAGGTTTTGTGTGCAGGTTATTATTTAAAACGCTGCTAGCTCTGACTTTTCACAGGCTTATAAATGAAAACTTAAAAAAAACCAACCCATTATTTCTTGGATGAGTTTTGACTGAAGGGATGATAATGCATAATCTGTGCATTTTGTTTTGTTTCTCTATTTATGAAATAGTCACGCTCGACTGTAACATTATGGAGAAAAGAGATAAAGAGAACATTGTTATCAGCAACTGGCGGGTGTTCACATGTTAGCAGTGTGATAGGCCCACGGCTACTTTAAATCTCAGTTCAAACAGCCAAACTGATGCACTCCGTTGTTAAGTTTCTAAGTCAGAGGGGAAGCTTAAATTAACTTAATTTTATTTGTGTAAACAATGGAAGATAGGAGTGCTTTCATTATATTTGTTAACAATATAACTAGCGTGCGCAATACCTGTAATTGGCATGTAATAGTATGATAGGGTTCATGTAAAAAAAATGTTAAGAAACAAAACATGAAAAATTGTTAACAACATGGTTTCTTAAGGCCAGTATAGATATTTGGTGATTTAGAATTCCAAAATTATGATACAATCGCCCAATCTTTTTTCCTTCCATAAACAGGTAACATAGACAGATTTCCCTAAAAATTTCTATGTATAGTTTTTTGTTGTTGTTGTTTTGTTTGTTAATGTACTCCTTTATGCTCGGCATTTATACTGTGCTCAGATCAGCTGGTTGTTGAGACTGCTGGTTTTGTGGCCAACGGAGGAGCTACAGAGTGCCCACTAGTGGACAAACTGTGCAACATCATGAGCTGGTATAAATACTGATACCAGCAAATAGCTAATACTTGCTCATAATATGGACTACCAATAAAACTTCATGAACAAGTTCTTTGAGTGAATGTTTAACAATTTCAGGGAAAATGGATTAAATGTAATTTACAAACACTTTAATTCAATTTTAAAACAAAATGTGTCAGAAAGTTTTGTGTATCAACATACTAGAAAAATAGCAGTAAATCTTCACATTTGAGAGTGGAAATTTGGGACAGTTTTAGGATTTCTTTGCTTGAAAAATGACAGGTAGAGTAATTGGCTATTAAAGTAGTTGTTCATATATTTTCCACAAGCTTAGTATCACATTACTAGAATATTTTTTTTCCTGGCTTTTGTCTTCATACTAAGGTCAGAGCTTAGTAGTAACCCCATTCAAACCCCCTTTAAACTAGTGAAGGTCTGCTGTTCACAAGTAGGTAAAATGACTGGACTCATATTTGTGGACCAGTAATTTGTTATGTGGTAACGACCTGCTCCATCCTGCAGCATGTCTGACAAGAGTGAACTCAAGGCTGAGCTGGAAAGGAAGAAACAACGGATCGCCCAGATTCGAGAGGAGAAGAAAAGAAAAGAGGAAGAGAAGAAAAAGAAGGATGTGTGTAATAGTAACTATTACATAAATTTTGTAGAAAGGCAGTGCAGCAGTCAGACTGAGAGACTGAAGTTGTTTGTGTTCCGCGCTTTGTAGGGAGACTCTAAACGTGGAGGTGAGGCAATGGGTGGATCTTCAGCCGGCCATGAAGATTCAGACCTGGAGAGGAAGAGGAGGGAGGCTGAGGCTCTGCTGCAGAGCGTTGGCATCACCCCCGACGTACCCCATGGTAAACGCGTGCTGCCACCATGCTCCCGTTTTTTAACATTCACCTCCACTTATCTGCCATAACTTTGTGCTCATGTGCTTGATGGATTTGCAGCGTTTCCAAAGTTCTCTCTAAGCTCTCTGGTTCTGGCTCGGTCTCACACTCATGGCTTTCTCCATAACACAATATGTGGATGTTTTTACATGTTTTGCGCATGACACCTAAAACCTGCCTGCCATTTATTTTCATTCTCTCTTCTCTCCCCTTTTGTCTGTCCTTTTGTGTTTTGTCC